GCGAGGGCGAGTCGCGGCGGAAGCGGCGCCACGAGGCGCCCGCGGCCGCGACCGCGGCCGCGCCCGCGCCGCCCGAGGGCGGGCCCTTCGCGGGGCTCGCGGTCGACTTCCGGCCCGAGGTCGGCCGCGTCGCCGCGCTCGTCGGCGCGGGCGCCTTCGCCTGGGCGGACGTCGACGAGGCCGCCGCCGTGGACCAGCTCCGGGCCCTGGGCCCCCGGGGCGCGCGGGCCGCGCTGTCCGCGTTCGCCCGGGGCGCCTTCGCGCCGGGCAACGCGTCGCGGCTCCTCGAGGACGCGGTGAACGCGCAGGCCGCGCGCGCCGCGCGCCTCGCGAGCGACGCCGCGGCCGGCGGCGCGGGCCGGCGCGCGCGGGGCCTCCTCGCCGCGTCGCTCGGCGCGGCCGCGCGCGGCGACGCGGGCCGCGACCGCCTCGGCGGCGACCTCGGGCGGCTCCCGCTCGAGGCGCAGCGCCTGCTCAAGGCGAAGATCCGCGCGGGCTTCCTGCGGCCGTCGGAGGTCACAAGAGACGCGGCGCTCTTCGCGGACCTGCTGGCCCTCGACGACGGCGACGCGACGGCCGTCGTGGCCGCGTTCCTCGAGGGGCTCCAGCCGAACGCGCGCGACAAGGCCGGCGCGCTCCGCGCGGCGCTCCGCCGCGTCGCCGGGCCCAGGGCGCGCGGCGGCGGCGGCGCGAAGCGCGCGCGGCGCGCGGTCGCCGCGGCGCCCGCGGCGGCGCCGGACCCGGCCGACGCGGCCGAACCCGCGCCGGCGCCCGACGGCGCGGCCGAGCCCGCGCCGCCGCCGATCCTCGACGACGCGGCCGAGCCCGCGCCGCCGCCGATCCTCGACGACGACGACGACGACGCCGAGGACCTCATCGCCGCCGCGCAGGCCGCCGAGGAGCGGCCCGAGCCCGCGCCCGCGGCGCCGGAGCCGGAGCCCGCGGCGCCCGCGCCGGAGCCCGCGGCGCCGGAGCCCGAGGAGCCGGCGCCGGAGTCCGACCTGGAGCCCGCGCCGCGCCTCACGGAGGCCGCCGTCCTGCGGATGACGGTCCGCGAGCTCAAGGTCCACCTCGAGGAGCGGGACCTCGAGACCAAGGGCCTCAAGGCCGCGCTCCAGAAGCGGCTCCTCGCGTCCCTCGCCGAGTAAGCCCACATCGTCCGACGCGCGAAACACATCGTCCGACGCGCGAAACACACGGCCTTTACTGGAGGGGCGCGAGGCGGTTGCTCGGCGACTTGGCGCGGGGCGTCTCCTCGACGACGAGGCCCGGCGCCGCGGCGGGCGCGGCCGCGACCGCGGCGACGTCGACGTCGTAGGCCACGCCGGCGGGCGGGGCGGGCGCCTTGGGGTGCGCGCGCTCCTGCTTGCCCCGGACGCGGGCCTGGAGCTTCGCCGCGGCGGCGTCGGGCTCGGGCTCCGCGTCCTTGGCCTCGGCGTCGTCGGCCGGCGCGACGCGGCCCTTCTTCGCGTTGGCCTTCTTCTCCTTCGCGAGCTCGAGCGTCGACCGGCGGAGCCGCTCCGCGTCCTCCGCGCGCTTCTTGTGGAGCTCGTTCGTCGCCTCGATGAGGTGCTCGGCGAGGATGTCGCGGTCCTTCGTGGCGAGCAGCCCCTCCTCCTCGAGCTTCACGTAGACGTCGTGCTTGATCTCGAGCAGCACCTCGGCGACGAGGTCGCGGTTGATCGCCGCGTGCTCCTCGCGCGGGAAGGTCTGGTCCATGTAGGCCTGGCACTGGGAAATCTGGGCCTCGACCTCGGCGTAGAAGTCGGCCCGCAGGTCCACGGCGAAGGCCCCGGAGGACACGAAGTAGCCGAAGACGTCGCGGACGTGCGCGAGCGTGTGCAGGTGCGCGGCCTTGTAGGCCAGGAGCACGTAGTAGCGCTGGTTCGACGACGCCGCGAACCCGAAGGCCTTGACGCAGCCGCCCTCGACCTTGTTGAGGTACTCCGCGCCCTTCAAGTCGCGCGCGGCGCGCTCGACGACCATGAAGTCCCGGAGATCCGTCGCGATGTGGTCCATGGCCGCGTCGCAGGAGGTGGGCAGGATCTGCGACGCCGCGGACCCCGGCGGAATCAACCCGAGCTCGATCATCTTCCAGTACTCGGCCTTGAGCGTCCGCAGGAAGAGGCCGCGCATGCGCTGCGGCACGTCGCCCGCGGCGACGGGCGCGTCGTCGCCCGCGCCGTCGTTTAGGCCCGCGGCGACGACGCCGCCGCCGAAGGTCGCCGCGTCGTAGGCCATGGCGCTGCGGATGACGCCCAGGTTGCGCGCGGACCGCACGACGTGCCACTTGGACGCCGCGTCCGCGCGGTCGGGCCGCGGGCCGTCGTCGACGGCGAGGCCGTACTTGGTCGCGATCTCCGCGAAGGCCTCCGCGGCCTTCTTCTCGGCCTGGGTCCGCGCGTAGATGCGCAGGTGCTTCGTGTCCTCCGAGGGCGTCGTCATCTTCAGGTAGTTCAACAGGCTCGCGGACGTCCACCCGTTCACGAGCAGCGTGAGGAACGAGACGCCCGCGACGAGGAAGAGGAGCTGCTGGGGGAACTTGACCGCCGCGCGCAGGGTGATGCCCGCGACCTCGATGTGCTCGTCGACGACCATGGCCAGCGCGAGGCCCACGGCGCCCCGGAGGCCGCCCCAGGTCATGACGACGCCGTCGCGCCAGTCGAGCATCTTGGTAGACGAGTGGTGGCGCTCGAAGTAGGAGAGGAGGGGCCAGAGGCCGACCATCATGACCCCGCGGATCAGCATGAGCGCGGCCCAGGTGTAGAGCAAAACAAAGTAGTCGTAGGGCCCGAGCCAGTGGGGCTCGTCGCCGCCGCGCTCGTGCCAGTTCTCGTAGAGGATCTCGCCCGTGAGCGACCCCGCGAGCATGAAGATGAGCGTGTTCGCGAGGTAGCCCAAAAACTCCCAGACGGACACCATGGTCTCGCGCGACGTCACGTGGACCCAGCCGAAGCGCGCGATGACGAGCGCCGCGAAGACCGTGCTGAGGACGCCCGAGCAGCCGCAGAGCGAGTCCGCGACGTAGAAGGAGAGGTAGGCGACGCCGACGGTCACGGTGATCTGGAGCGTCGTCGCCGTCTCGTCGTACTTGCGGCGCGCGAGCTGGAGGCAGACGAGCGCCGCGAAGCCGAAGGCGAAGCCGAGGCCGATGCCGCCGAGGACCATCTTGAGGAAGAAGCGCGCGATGGACCCGTAGCCCGCGGGGTCGCCCGGCCCGGCGATGTAGCGGCCCTCGCCCTCGGCGAGGGACATGAAGAGGTAGAAGAGGACCATGGCCGTGCCGTCGTTGAAGAGCGACTCGCCCGTGATGGCCATCGTCAGGCCCGGCGACGCGCCGAGCGCGTTGAGCAGCGCGACGACGGCGACGGGGTCCGTCGCCGCCGTGATGCTCCCGAAGACGCAGCAGTTCCACCACTTCCAGTCGTAGGGCAGGCAGTGCTTGGCGAAGAACGCCGTGACGAAGGACGCGAGGAGCACGCCGGGGCCCGCCAACGTAATGCACTGCCGCATCTTCGTGTAGAAGAGGTGGAGGTTCAGCTGCATGGCGTCGCCGAAGAGCAGGATGGGCATGAACGAGTAGAGGAGCAGCTCCGGGTTGATGTGCTCCCAGAGCTTGAGCGACCGGCTGTAGACGCCGAGCCGCTCCTGCGAGCCGTGGTGCGCGAGCGCGAGCACGACGCCGAGGATGAAGACGGCCATGGTGTACGGCACGCCCTCGAGGAAGCGGCTGATGACGTAGAGCGTCGCCGCGCCGATCATCAGCGCCGCGGACATGTAGATGAGCGCCTCGTAGGGCCGCTCGTGCTTCTCGTGGTGCCCGGCGTGCGCGCCGTGCGCGTCGTCGTCGCCGTGCGCGTCGTCGCCGTGGTCGTCGCCGTGGTCGTCGCCGTGGCCGTGGTCGTCGGTGTGGTCGTCGGTGTGGTTGTCGGCCGCGTCGTCCGTGAGGATGCGCGCGACGTGGCCGTCGCCCAGGGCGTTCGCCCGCGCCAACGTCAAGCAGGCATCGGCGGCCGCGTCGCCGTCCAACGTCTCCGCGAGGAGCGCCACGCAGGTGCCGTGGCGGTCCGCGAGGCCCGCGCGGTCCGCCGCGACGGCGCCGCAGAGGCAGGCGACCAGGACCGCGCCGAAGACGCGACCCGTCGCCATCGTTGGGAGGAGGAGGACGCGCCGCTAGATGACGCTGCGCGGACAAACCGGGCTGCCTTGCCGAGCCAAGATTTGCAAGATCCCTACAAGATCTTTGGGCTGTCTAAAGCCGCCCCTTTGTCCGAGCATTCGAACCGGGCAGCCAACCTCCGGTGCTCCGGGCAGCAGCTCCGCGTGCGCCTCCCCCGACGCGCCGGCTCCTCCGCCGGGTCGCCGTGGTCGACGCCACGCCTCGATCCGTACGAAAGGTCCACGAGAGAGAAGCGCGACCATGGAGAGCAAGGCGGCGGACTTCGGGGACGAGGGCAAGGACGAGAAGGGGTCGAGCAGCAAGGAGTCCATCGTGACCAAGGTGTCGCAGTACTTCTTCGACGACGAGTCCTTCGCCGGACGCTTCGAGCGCTGGGTCGAGGACAAGGCGCCCGTCATCGACCTCGCGCTCGACGAGGACGAGTACAGCCTCCGCTACACGGAGATCTACGAGGAGTTCAAGGCGCTGTACGAGGGCATGCTCGAGACCTACATCGAGTCCCAGGGGTCGTCGGTGCGCGACTTCTACGGCGAGCTCCGCGAGGCGACGGAGCGCGACCCGGACGGCCCCGAGGCGACGATGGGCCTCATCATGCTCGCGACGACGGACTTCGACGTGTTCATGCAGATGATGCGGGACCAGCGGAAGCAGCTCGACGCGCGGAGTGTTCACAAGTGAGATCGGGGAGCTTAGGCAACCATCATCTCTGCGCTAGATCCGGTCGGGGGGCACGGGCGGGCGGCGCGGCGGTCCCCGCCTCGCTAGATGAGGAGCTGCTCGATCTTGTCCTTCATGGTGAGGATCTGGTCCTTGAGCTGGGACGCCTCGTTGGACGTCACGGAGCAGGAGATGACGGGGCGGCTCACGCCGCACGCGCGGCCGAGCGCGAGCTTCGACGCGACGAAGACGTAGGGCACGTTCTGCGGCGGGGGGGGGGAAGCGCTCGACGGCGGCGCGCGGGCGTCGGGGGACGCGGGGACGGCGCACCTTGTCCTCGCAGAGGAGCGGGAGGTGGAGCAGGATCTCGAGCGGCTCGGCGTCGGCGGCGAGCACGATGAACTCGGCGATGCCGCGGTTCAGCGACTTCGTCGCCTCGTTCGCGCCCTTCTTGAGCTGCTTGTAGTTGCAGGCCTGCTGCACGAGGTCCAGGATCGTCACGGAGAGGTTCGCGTCCGCGAGCGGGTAGGCCTAAACGTCGAGGCGATCGGTTGGCGCCTCGGCGCGCGTGGGGGGGTTGCGCGCGCGGGGGGGGCGGCGTCGGCGTCGCCGGGGGCGCCGCGGCGGCGGCCCGCGCACCTTCGGGTTCACTTCAGCCATGGTTTCGGTGCGGCGCGCGCGGTGCTTGGCGTGCAGGCGTGGAGAGCGTCGCTGAGGCTGGAGCTAACTCGCGGAGCACCTCAACATCTCCTCAACTTTGACTCGCATCCCCAAAGCGCCCTCTCTCGATGGAGGGCTGCCCGGGATCCTGCGAGCGAGCGCTCTCCGCCGAAATCCTGTGAGCGGGTTTACGAAATCCTGCAACAATATTATTCCCCTCTCGATGGCTCGTGCAATGCTACATGTGCTCGCATACTGCGCACTGAGCACCAATGCCCTGAGCACTATCGACAGCGCCCGCGCGGTGCTGCGCCGCGCCTCGTCGATGGACCGACCGAGCCCGCGAGAGATGACCGTCGCCCTGGCCGAGTTGTCGAATGCCGGCGTGCACCCCGACGACTGGGTGGCGACCCTCGAGCAGGGGTCGCCCTGGCGCGCGACGTTCTCCGCGACGCCCGCGGCGCTCAAGGCTGCGCGCACGGACGAGGAGGACGCCGCGCCGGGAGCGTACCTCGCGGCGGACGCGGCGCAATCGTTTTCGCCGGGCGCGTTCGTCAACAGCGTGCGCCTCCTCGGCGGCGCGATCCAGTTCGCCTTCGGCGGCACCTTCGAGATGACGGGCCGGCGGATGACGCTGACCATCGAACTTTGAAATTGCGGCTCCTGTGGGGAATCCTGACGCTGCCCTTCGACGTCCGCGAGGGCCGGGGCGTCCGGGGCCTCGTCGAGCGCGTCCGCGGCGGCAAGAAGAAGAAGGCGGGCGCCTTCGAGAAGCGGCCGAACGTCTACGCGTGGTGCTACGCGGACGACGCCGTCTGCGTCGCGCAGGGGTCGTCGGGCAACGTCGCCGCCTGGGTAAGCGGCGCGTAGCTAGGCCGCGCACGCGCCCTCGCACGCGGCGCGCGCGGCCAGGTCGTCGTAGCCCCGCCTCGCCGCCGGCAGCAGGTCGACGTCCGCGAGGGACGTGAAATGCACAAAGTTCGCGACGAAGAGCAGGCGCGCCATGAGCTCGACCTTGTCGCCGCGGTCGTCGGGCCGCACGGCGACGAAGTTGTGGTGGAGGTCCCAGACGGCGTTGAACTCCCAGTCCAAAAAATGGACGAGGCCCCGCGTCAGGAACTCGCGGGAGAAGAAGGGCTGGTCCTCGCCGTGGCGCCGGTACGCGTCGCTCCGCGTGACGGCGTCGTAGACCTCGCGGCAGAGCGCGCCGTGGCTCCGCGGCCAGAAGACGAGGACGCCGCTCTGGAGCACGTCCTCGGAGTCGAAGGCCACGCCGCGGTCCGCGTACCACTCGCGAGAGGTGAGTTCGTAGCCGCGCGTGATTTGGTTGAAGAGGCGCGCGCGCCGGTTCAGCTGCGCGGCCTGGTTCGCGCCGCAGATCTTAAACTCCGGGCAGGCCGCGGCGATCGACGGCGCGTGCGGCGCGACGTAGACGTCGCTGTCGAGCCAGACGACGGCGTCGTAGCCCGCCGCGAAATCCTCCGTGGCCACGAGGAGCTTCTGCGCGAGCACGCCGCCCGCGCGCGTCGCCGCGCGGAAGCCGTCGAGGGGCTCCGTGACCTGGCGGAAGTCGTAGCCGTGCCGCGCGCAGTAGTCGACCACGGGCCCGCGGAAGTGGGCGCCGAAGGCCTCCTCGTGGCGCCTGCCGAAGGTGAACGTGACCAGCAGGACGCGCATGAGGGTCCGGCGCGGCGGCGCGATCACCCGGTCTGCGTCCACGGAGGTCCACGACGGAGGTCCACGACGCGCCCTCTATTCCAGCCCAGCGGATCCTGTTCCATCGTGCAGCCCTTCAGAAAGAAAGGGCACTGTGAAGTCAACACTTGCTTCAACGAGTCGCGTCGAGTAATAGACGGCGCCCTACTCGAGTAGGTAACCACTCTACGCGCCAGGGACCACACCATCCAGGCAGTACGTTAAGGCAACAATTCAGCGCGGCGTCCGGTCCGTGCAGCCGCAGCCCCAGTCGCCGTCGTCGGCGCCGCGCGCCGCCGCGGCGCTCGGGAACTCGGCGGCGAGATGGTCGTCCATGACGGCGCGCGCGCGCGCCGCCGCCGGCGCCTCGTCCTCGACGACCGCGCTCCCGCGCTGCGCCTCCTCGCTCAAGATGCGATCGTAGAAGCCGGCGGGGACGTCGCGGACGGGGCAGTCCGCGACGGCGTCGCCCCACGCCCGCGGCGCCGCCGGCGGGTCCGGCGGCGCCGCCGGCGGGTCCGGCCGGCTCGGCCCGCCGGCCGAGTCCTCCAAGCCCCGGCGGTCCAAGAAGGGGCCGAGCTCGTCCTCGGCGCCGGCGGCGCCGCCCGCGTCCGGGTCCGGGTCCGGGTCCGCGGCTGGCGCGTGGACGAGCTCGATTTCGCCGGGCTCGTCCGGGAGCGCGCCCGGCGGGCAGACGGCCTCGGCGGCGGCGGCGCGGATGGCGACGTCGCCGCAGACGAAGAGCGACAGGTTCGCGAGGTCGTCGTCGTCCGCGGACGCGTCCGTCGAGCGCTCGCCGGGCTCCTCGGCGGCGGCGGCGGCGGCGGCGTCGCGCGCGGTCTCGGCCTCGCGGTCGCCGCCGTCGTCGCGCGCGGCGTGCCCCAGGTGGAGCCGCTTCATGCTCCGCTCCATCTCCCTGCGGGCCTTGACGCGCGCGTCGAGCGCCGCCGTGACGACCTTGGAGTTCGTCGAGAGCAAGTAGAAGAGCGCCGAGAACGCGCCGGCGGAGTTGCCCGCGATGAGGATGAAGCCGAAGGCGCCGTGGCTCAGGCCCGTCTTCTCGTCCGCGTCGCCCATCTTCTCGTCCGCGGCCATGACCAGAATCGCGAAGACGTTCAGGAACAGCAGGGCCTGCATGATGTTCGCGAAGGTGTCCACGGAGTCCTCGAGGAAGGGCCTCAGGTGCGCGTACAGGAACGCGAAGAGCACCGCGACGGTGCACGCGAAGACCGCGTGCGAGATCGACTCCGGGTCGCACAGCGACTCCGGCAGCGGGAGGAAGCACGTGAGCACGAGGCGCCGCACGCACTCCAGGACTTCAAAGTACCAGCAGGCCGGGTCGTACTCGTCGTAGAGGAACTTGAGCGGCGCGCAGGCGTCGCAGAGCTCGCGGTGCCGCACCTTCAGATTCTCGCCGAGGCGGAAGTCCGCCGCCGCCGTCGCGCCGCTGCCGAAGACGGAGCCCCGCTTCCGGCGCTTCCCGGGCACGTCGAGGTACGTCGTCGCGATGTCCCGCAACGCGACGGCGTCCTCGGCCTCGTGGAGCCGCGCGTCGATCTGCGCCTTCTTCGCGTTGTAGGCGAGGTCCGCGCCCGCGGACGCCACCGCGGAGTGGTACCGCGCCCGCAGCCGGTCCCGGCGGCCGTCGAGCTCGGTCATCAGGGCCTCGTGGACCGCGCGCTCCTCCGCGAGCTTCGCGTCGACGCCGTCCGAGGCCGCGAGCGCGCGCCGCGCGAGCGCGTCCGCGTCCGCGGGCGCGATGTTGTGCTTCTGCGACACGAGCAGGCAGAACCAGGTCAGGGGCACGCCCACGGGGTAGACGAGGATCATCAGCAGCGCGTAGAAGCGGTAGTTCCTGTAGCGGGTCGTGTCGCAGTCCACGGAGTAGTCCGCGACGAGGTAGCTGTGGCCGTAGTAGGGGCTGTGCGCCGCCTCCGACGTGTCGTCGAACTCGCTGTCGCACATGGTCGACCGCAGCACCGTGTTCGAGCACGTCGTGAACACGAGGAAGCTCACGACGAGCGCCGCGGACGACAGCGGCGCCTTGAGGTCCTCGCGCGCGTCTTTGTCCTTGAGCAGCGGGCCCCCCACCACGTAGATCATGAGCAGGAAGGCGAGGATCGCCAGCGGGATGAGCGTCACGGCGACGAGCCGGTCGAGGTAGTCGTAGGACCCGACACACGTCGCGCCGAGCAGCGACACGAGGTCCAGGTCGAAGACGGACATGGCGTGGTAGAAATTCTCCAGGGACCGCGGCAGCGGCAGGTTCGGGAACCCCACGGGGATGCTGCCCACGATCTGGTAAAACACCAGCAGGATCTTCGCGTCCGCGCGCAGGTCGTCGAAGTAGCGGTGCAGGTAGCTCAGGATCGCCGCGAGCGTCTCCACGGAGTCCCTCGCGACCCGGTACGCGTAGACGCCCAGGACGCCCAGGAGCGCGACGACGACGCAGAAGGCGTAGAACCCCGCGCCCGAGCTTTCGCCGCACGGGACGCAGAAGCCCGTCTTCGAGTCGAGCTTGTAGCCGCCGTTGCAGAGCGCGCAGAGCGGCCCCTCGTGGTGCTCGCTGCAGACGGCCGCGTCGCTGGTCAGCGGCGCCCGCGACACGTTGGGCCAGAAGTTCGCCCCCCCCTCGCAAAAGGCCGCGTACTTGCACCGCCGCACGCGGTCGCTGTCGTACGCGGACCGCCAGTAGCCGTCGTCGAGCAGGATCGCGCTCCCGCCGGCGCAGGTCGCCTCGTCCGGGCAGGCCGCGCAGGACGTCGCCGACGGGTCCACGGACCAGGTCCCCGAGCCGCAGGGCGTGCACCGCGACGGGAGGATCGCGACCTCGCCGGGCACGCACGCGCGGAGCGCGACGCGGAAGCGCGACGCGAACGTCTCCCCGGCGACGTCCAGCGACGCCGTCATGGGCACGTCGATGCCCGGGACGCCGCTGAGGCCGTAGGACGCCGCGGTCGTGTTCGCGACGCCCTCGACGAAGTCGACCTTGGACGCGCCGAGCACGGACACGTTGAGCCAGTCCGGCGTGATCTCGACGCGGTCGCGGTAGTCGGCGTCGGCGCTGTCGGCGTCGACGAGCGCGACGACCTGCCCGAGGGCGTCGTAGACCGTGACGACGATGGGGTTCAGGAAGTACTGCGCCGACATCTCGAAGCCGGCGTGCCTGGCAGGAAAAGAGAGCGAAATTCCCAACTTTGGAGACTGATATCTCGGTCAGTTTCCACTCGTTTCGGCTAATTTTTGGACGAGCGATCATCTCTCGGAGCGTTCTCGAAGCGTGAATGATATTTCCGGAACGGTCACGC